AGAGGCAGGAGGCGGAGATTAAACCGCGGAATGATATCCCGAATTTTACCGCGGAGGAGAATGAAACAATCCATGGAGGGAGGAAAAACTGGAATATGACATGCTGAAATATTTTTGTTGGTTAAATATTATAGAAAAGTAAACTGTGGTTGGATTCAAGCTCATTATCACCTCGTGGAATCCTTCAGTGTACCGTGCGTTAAAGTGGCTGCTGCTGGTTTATACACAGGACGGTCTACGTGTGTGAATCAGCAGGAGACTGTAGTTGCCCTGGTATCATCCGTCCTTCAGTGCTTTGTCCCTCTCATGATATGTTGTGTTTTCACTGGTGTGTGTTTAGTTGATCAGCGACAGAAAGCTTCCCATGGTCCGTGCGTAAAACCAGACGGAGCAGTTTGGCACATTTTTATTTGTTCTGTGGTGTGGAAGTTTTTGTCTCGCTCTAATATCAGAGTTGTTTATCTAAGCTGATATCATTTTATATCATTGTGAAATGGAGATGTTATTGTGAAAGCCTGATCCATAAAATCCAACATGTCTGTAATAATGAGTGTGTGGGGGTGAATGCTTTTTATAGGCATTGTACATCTGTGATTTATTATAAAACTATTACTGAACTAGGATGATGGCAGAGTGTGTGATGTACAGTGTTGGGATCTCTTGGGAGGAGAGCAGACTGTTAAAGAATGGAGTTCCTGCCACCTAGTGTCACATTTGGCTTTTGCAGGCAGATCTTCAATCTCAGAAGAACTCGGTTAACAGTTAAAAACCCTCGTGCTCATTAAACTGGCATCACTGAAGCGTCCCTTAACTCCACTTGGAATTAAAGTCCATGACCAAACGTCGATATGTGACGAGGTCGCAGTGAGAATGTGTTGGATTTCTGGAAAGAGATATTGCTGTTGAGTTTTTCAAACTGATTTTTTGTGCACCACAGGCTCCTTTGTACCGGAGAGAAGGCAGGCCGACATCTCCAAAACTCTGCAACTCACACCAAAACAATCTGGACTGATAAACAGCACTACAGGTAAGAGGAGAGATATGTATTTTGGATTTTTGGATGAACTGTCCCTTTAATTTTCTATCAGCCCCAGTGGTTTGATACTCTGGGACGGGCCCTTAATCTTCTCGTTGTTTTGACATGATTTGATCTGATCGGAGTCACTTGATAAGAGGTATTTGGAGGGTAACGGCCAGGTTCTGCTCCCCTTAACTCCGCCTGCTGCTGTCAGCAATATTTGATTGTTATTAATCTAACTGAGCACGGTCGGATTATTTGATTATTTCAGTTGACTTTTAGCGGCGACTATCTGCAAGTTGAGGGTTGATGTCAGAGATGATTATCAGCAAAGTTTACTCAAACTATCAAAAGTAAAAGTGCTAGCCTAATTCTGCAGAAAACAGTCAGTACAGTTTATCTTAAGAAGCAAAATTTTCTGAACCTGAATCTGAAAGAATCGCTCGATCCTTCCGTTTATCACCAAAAAATATCACATTTAAAATCACTTAATTTGGAGATACATGGTTTTCACTGGACAGAAAGAGTGTGACAAATTTTAGTCTGAAAAGTTAACTAATTACTTAAACTGTCTGTAGTGGAGTACAAAATTCGCCTTTGAGATGGAGAGAAAGATTAAAAAAATAGTTAAGTACAAGTACCTTGAATTTGTACTTAACCACAGTACTTACTGTACTTGAATGCACCACAGGTGACAGTAAAATAATCCAGTTGTAGCTTCTTTGATTCCATAGATTTCTTTTAACTTGCAGAAATTTTATTTGCTCAAATCAAAACTTACAAAAATGACTGTTTTTTCAAAACAAACAAACAAACAAAACTCGACAAATATAAAACAAGATTTCAATGAATAAAAACAAAATAGGTACAAAAACATAAATTAATTCAATGAGTCCAAATACCAGGTCATTCTCTTCAATAGAATGCAACACATCTTTAAAGCACCATCTTGTGAACAATTCTACATCGTAGATGATGCTGTAACAGCTGTAATCAAGTTTTAATCTAACCTAAAACTCTCCGACCCTTTAGTTGACGGTGGCGTGCAGGCGTTTCAACATAGTTTTACCACCTTTGATATTTAACCTGTTTGCTGAAGCCTCACAGTCCATCAGTGCCGACTTTAATCAGAGTTCCCACATTTTCATGGACAAAATTTGGACTTTTCAAGGACCTATTGTAAAGATTTTTTCTTGCCCCACATATCAGATTCAGTCTCTATTAAAACATAATTTTGGCAGGCTGACAAAACATACGCGTAAACATAACGCTGTTACACACTGACACGCATTAGAGCTACATTACGTTGACAGCTATAGAGACCTAACTTCTCGCCACCTTACATCACGTGGAAGGTTGTCCACACAAGATTACCGTAACATTTTCAGTGACTTCAGGACTTTTCCAGGCCTGGAAAATGTGACCGTGAAATTCCGACTTTTCTAGGTCCTCCATGACTGTGGGACCCCTGTTTAAAACCAGGATCAAGTGTGAGTGCAGGGAGCGAATCAACATTTGGATGGAGGTGTCCATTTCTATTGGCTGTGCGTTTATCACAGAGTTCAGTCTGTGTCAGTTGATGTTTCCAGATGTTGAGCGGGTGATTAATGAACCTGACAGATCCAACTCCCGAGCAACGAAGGAAAGGCGTTCATCAGGTGAAGTCCACACAGTTCAACCACGTGTCCCAGCGTTCTTTATTCCAACAATAACTGCACACAAATGAACTGAACAAATCTAACATAACCGTGGATTGCAGCAAAGTACAACGGCGACTGCGCTGCAAAATTACGTTCAGATTCTCCTTCCTGTTGCCTTTCTGTCCCTCTCATAGTGACCTCAGTGAGACAAGAAACTGCGAATGTTAGGAGACTTCAGAACAGCTTATATCTCCAACCTGTGAGCCTGCTGCATCTAAACTGTCTCGCTCATAATAAATAACGGCTCCTGGACTTTTCGCACTTTTTGCACCGTACCTCCATACGGAATGCTGCGATAGCTTTTTCGTACGCAGTCATCTTTTTCTGAAGAACCTTTGTCAGAGCTTTCAAGGACAAGAGTTTTGCTTTCATTCTTCTTGTCTGCTGACACTTTAGCTTAAGCTTTTTGCGAACGATGACAAGCTTATGACGTAATGCGTTTTCTTTAATGAGTGTTATGGGAGTCTCAGTCAGAAGATGGACCTGCACTGCGCTGTCTTTACGCTCGGGTGTTATGGACGGATTAGAATCGAGCTGATCCTGCGCTGCATTTTCTTTCCATCTGACTGTTGAGGGAGACCCGGAAATGATGTAGCTGTGATCAGGGCGCACAGAGATCTGCTTATGTGCTTTGCCGTCTCTGGCGAGGTAGTCGTGATCATGCATGACTCTTTCAGGCTCTGCGCTTATGGTGCACTCAGTTATGTCATCAGCATCATCAACATCAGTGTGGACATCCCTCATAAAAATGTTATCTTTATTATCAGTGTCTTCATTGTCACTGTTGGTAACTGCCTTATTATCCAGCACAGAATGCAAATATGCCACAGGTCCAGGTGTCGTGTGCGGCTGACTGAGATACATGGGTGCAGAACATGAAGGGACCGGGGGGATAACCGACTTGATCCGTTTGGCCTTGGTAGCTTCTTTCTTTAACAACAAATGTTGTGGAAAGCTGAAAATGGTCGGCACAGCGTTGTCCTTCAGCCTCCTCTGGCCCTGATAGAAAATACAGAAAACATCAGAGAGTAGACTGTTAAATATCACAGAATGTGGAAGAGAAAGATCTGAGCAGTAAATCCAAATTGAGCTCTAAATGCTGTGACACACCAAGCTGACAGTCAGCCGTCTGTCAACGTTGGACTGTCAGTTAGTGTCTGTCGCCCTAGTCTTTGTGGTGTGTCTCGAGACATTGACCCTTGTCAGTCCTTGTCAGCTTTTTTAAATGCGGTGAACCCGCAAGTTAGGGCTGCCCCCGACTACAAATTTTCTAGGATTTATTTTGACAAGGTGCAGGTCCCAATAAAGTTTCAGGTTTTTTTCTGCAACTAAGTGACCACTGAAATCTTTCCGACTAATGACCTCTCTGGTCGACTAACGTTTGGTCGGGGGCAGCCCGACTGTTGGTGAATGAAATATCTCTGATTGGCAGTTCAGCTCAGCGCACGAGAAAAGAAATGGAAGTGAGGAAGGTAAAGAAATAGCTAAGGTCAAGAGGGAGTGAGACCAAAACAAACTTGTAACATAAGATTAGTTTTTTTTAACCATTGAGTATGTTGTTGTAAATATGCTCTGATCTTTCAACATTGGATTGTGTTGTCAATGTGCAAACTGACTAACTAGCATCATTGACAGTCCACCAATTTTCTTTTTTGGACGTCGAACACGGACCACGGCTGTCTACCGCTGTGGACAGATATTTCCTCTCACACAGGCGCAGAACGTATGTGCAGATGGCAGTCAGCTGTAGTGTTTGCATTGTGCTCATTTGCAACTTTTTGGGTGAGACACAGGCGACATTAGGTGACACGACATTTGGCTTTCGTCATCGCTAGTTCTTTAATGTCAGTGTGGTGTGTCTGGGCCTTAAGGCTTGCAGTGTAAACACAGCCACAGCCTATCACTACACTTGCATGCACACCAACTTTTGGAAGCTGTAATGAAACTGTGATGTTAAAAATTAACAGAGTGGCATCACGGTCAACATACAGGGTGACTGATGATTTAAGTGCAGCTATTCACACATTGAAAAATTCCACCAAAATTAGTGCATAAAAATGTATCTGTCTACCTTTCTGTCTATGAGGAACTCACTCTCCTCAAAGTGCGTACTGCATAGACGTGATGATTTGGATGGAGTCCAGTTCTTTCTCCTCACGTTCATCAGCCATTGCTTTAGCCTGTCACTGTTAGCTAAAGGAAATCTGTTGAGGAAAAAAAAAAAAACGTGTTTACTGTTGTGCATTCAGACTCTATATTCCAGAATTTCCATCTGCAGTCCCTCACAGGTTGATGTCTTCTTAAAAAAAAACATTAAAAGAAAACACACAGATGGACAAAGGGAAAGACAAGTGGTAAAATGCTGCAAGAATTAGCAGGCAACAAGGAGGGCATCAACACTTCAGAGCACATTAAGCAGGGGTACACAAAAAGACCCTGGCAGACTACATTATCCAAAATGGATGACACACATCAAGACTTATGCTGGCATCACTGTGGCAACAGAGGTTCTTTATTCCGCTTGCTCTGGGACTGTCCAGCTGTTAAAACACTCTGGTTACAAGTGATATCTCTTGTTGTCCAAATCATGCATGCTGGGCCTGAGATTGGACAGCTTAAAAGGCTAGTTTACAATGGATGTATGAGATCCAATGTAGGTTACGTAAGTTACATTAGTGTCACCCTCGCACCCCCCATCTTCTCCCTTTTTTGGATTAGTGTTGGCTTTGTGCTGTTTTGTTTATTTTCTATTCTTGTGTGTTCTTTATAGATGCCTCTAAGGCTTTCAATCACATTAATCATGACAGATTATTCAATAAATTGCATCATAGAGGGGTCTCTAAATGGATAATTAGAATTCTTGTTCACTGGTATGCTCATCAGTCTGTACAGGTGTACATGGTTGACTTGTCCCAACAGTTGAATGCATATAACACAGGGTGTGTGGTTGGCAATACTCTAATAAATCATCGTATGTATGCAAATGATTTGGTAATCTTCTGCCCATATAGTGCCGGCCTACAACAGCTGTTGAAGATATGCTCTAACTATGGTGCAGACTTTGACATCAAACATAACGCCAATAAAAGCAACATCATGACTGTTAGAGGTGTTAGAAGACAGAAAATTAGTATTTCCTGAATTCTTTTTATCTGGTGTTGCTCTTAAAGTGTGTAATAAGATTAAATATCTTGGTCATTGTGTTGTCAATGATTTATCTGATGACAAAGATATCTACAGACAGTGTCGGGAGTTGAATGCACAAGCTAATATGCTTCCTTATAAATTTCACGTGTTCAGTTAATGTGAAGATCGCTCTTTTTAGAGCATTTTGCACTCCTCTGTATACTGCCCACTTGTGCAGCTCCTGTAGGAAGAGCAATATGCAAAGACTTAATGTGGCCTGTAATGGTGGCATGACACTGCTTCTTAAACTTCCACGATGGTGCAGTGCCGGCCAAATGTTTGTAATTGTTGGTGTGCCTGCCCATCCTGCTTTTATATGAAATCTTATTCATCAATATATGTGCAGGTTCTGTGTCTCTGAAAATAGTATCATCCAGACTTTGGCCAACCCTGAGCTGGGCTCAGTCTAGTTATCATCTACACCAGTGGTGTTCAACCTTTTTTCACTGATGTACCCCTGTGAATTATTTTTTCAGCCAAGTACCCCTTAACCAGCACAAAGCAATTTTGGTTAAAAAAAAAGACAGAATTTTGCCGGCCCTGGTTTCACCTTCTTTGGCACTTGTCCCTTCAGCAGCATTGCTGCTACGCTTTCAACCATGACTCTATTGCTTGAGTTTTTAAGACAGCAGTGATTGACAGGTGATGACAGGTGACGTGTGCCAGGTTGGGTCAAACCATCCTGGTATGGGGGAGACTCTGGATTTTTAGGATAATGAAATTGAATAGCCTACTGAATATAAAATTCAGTTTATGAACATACTTATATTTTATAGAATATTTATTAAATGACTATTTTTAAAGGATTTTTGAATTGATGCTTATTTTAAATATTTTTTTAAAAAAAATCTCACATAGCCCCTGGAGTGCCTTCGCGTGCCCCCAGGTGTACACGTACTCCCATTTGAGAACCACTGATCTAGACTGTGGGGCCACTGGCTCTCCAGCTTGTTTGTGGGTGCTGTTAATTGGATTTTGTCCATTTTTATGAACTTGTATAAAGTAGTGTTGGGTAATTCTTGTCTTTTTTAATTTATCGTTATCTAGTGTGTGTATGTATATGGATATATATATATAGTATTTATTATATTGTATTTTTGTACATAGATGATTGTCTGTTTTTTATGAGGTATGCTGTGGACCTTTCTCTGTATCCCTAATAAAGTGATTATTAATATTTTAATTATTACTCTATCTAATTTTCCCTTGTGTGTTAAATCTAAAAGACAGACACTGTTAATATCAAAATAAGACCTGTTGGCACCTGATCAGATGTAGCACTCCAAATGACAATAAAGGCTTTCTGTTCTTTTCTATCACAAATCTACATGACAAACGGGCTGTGCAACGACACGTTAACGATGTGAGTGATACAGACTACCTTATCTCACCCGCTTTAATTAAAATATAAAGTAGGTAACGTTATTTAGCACTACAGTACCTCATAACAACATGTACGTATTCGTTAGAGATACCTGAACAATCATGGACAGTAACGTTTAGCGTTACACTGACCAAACGCAGTATTCTTCAACTTTGTTGCACGTGCCCGTTACACAACACAACCATCGCTAGCTTCACACTGTTTGACAGTACCCTGTGATCATGCTTTGGCCGACTAACTACCATTAACTGAGGTTCCCAGCCTCTGGCGGAAAGAGGCACTGTTAGCATAGCAACCGCTAAGCTACTAGCTAGCGCTAGCTTGGTTAGCATGTTAACTTTGCTGTTGATGCTAGCGAAGAACAGGCATAAACCAAATGTACATACCGGAAGAAATTAACATCCGACCCCTTAGAGGATCTTTTCGTACAGCCGAACGCTGAACAAGACATTTTATGACATCGAAATGTTGCTGTTAACTTTAATGGACTGAAAAACACCGAGAAAGGCCAAAGTTTCTTTTTCTATTTTGAGTTTTGATGGCGGTTGGCAAACCAGCTTTCAGGCGCATTACCGCCACCTACTGGACTGGAGTGTGGCGCACTGGCAGGCAACAAAACTAAACTAGATAAATAAATAAAATTTCTCTGTTATTTCTGGTACTCTTAAATAATTGAATACACTTATTAATAATAATAATAATAATAATAATAATAATAATAATAATAATAATAATAATCTAAAAAAAAGAGGGTTTGCCTCCGTCTCTCCGTCACTGGCTTGTGTCGCGTTTTGATGACGTCACTCAAGTTCCGCTCTTCCCCGCGGCAGTAAACATGGCGATAGGCTAACGAAGTCGCTGCATGCATACAGTCGTGAAGGCTTTGGATTTCTCTTTGGGAACGTACACAATACGTTATACTTTAATTTAGATACGCAGAGGTGCGTGTGTGGGGCGTTACGCTCTACGGGTTTAATTTGAATAAAAGGTAAAGTCAAGTTTTTCCTCCTTTGCAGCTGTCAATGCTAATGCGGCCGTAGCTACAAGTGCAAGCTAACGTTAGCAGCTAATTCGCCATCAAAGTTCTGCACGACCCGCAAATGTTTGGATGCCTGTCAAAGGGATTTTTACTGCCGTTGTCATGTCCGCTAGCTACTTAAAACAGTAGCTGTACTTGAAAATGTTATTTAGACTCAGGTTGTGTATTCGTCATGTGTTAGCTGTCAACTTTACGTTTACTTGTTAGCTAACAGCAGCTAATGGTCATTATCAAGAAGGCGTAACTAAGGTAACTAAATGAAACGGACCATCTCTCTAAATATGCTTTAAAACGCCTACCCACACACATCTTTTAATTTATTGCGAATATTGGTGAAGACTTTGCAGCGGACACTGACATTTACATTTTATTTCATCTGTCATCATTGCTGGGATTATCACTTTGCAGGGTGAAGGAGACGCACCGGCAAAATGGGGCGACGTTCAACCTCCTCCACCAAGAGTGGGAAGTTTATGAACCCCACCGACCAGGCCAGTAAGTACCGACTACAACCAGGAGCTGGTGCCTCTAGGACCAACCTGCTGGATGTCACCTGAAGAATTATCAATCTGTTGTTGTCAGATGTCAGAATGATAATTAACTCTATTCACCCTATTCTCTGCCTCCCTCACAGGAAAGGAGGCCAGGAAAAGGGAGTTAAAAAAGGTACATGTTGTCTTCAAACATACGATTTACATTAATGTATTCGTTCATCTTAAATACAAACTAAAGTTATGTGTTGATAACATGTTTCTTGATTTGTAAATATTCTCGATAGAACAAGAAGCAGAGAATGATGGTGAGAGCGGCGGTGCTGAAGATGAAGGACCCCAGGCAGATCATCAGAGACATGGAGAAGCTGGATGAGATGGGTGAGGAGGCTGGACACGTTTGTTACAGTTGAATTGGCTTTTGTGCAGTTAAGAATGTGTCTGTGGCTTTACATACTAGACATGTGCCTAATGCTAAGCTCTCTGACATATAAATGAAAGTTTGAACTTAGACTAGTTGGACAGTCTGAAAGTAAGAAAACAAATTGAGCACAATTTAATCTTTAAGGTTAAACATTGCCTAGAACAATATTATTTATATTACAAAGGGGATCTTAAATCCTAAATCGCATTGTTCAACTACTAGGGATGCACCAATATGGAGTTTTCTACTGATAGCCAATTATCACCGGCTTCTTGTGGCCGATAAGCAATAAATTCACGTTTTTGTATTTTAAAAAATAAGTGTACAACCTGTAGTATATGTACAACTCCGGGTAAGAGAGGCTGAGATGTAGTGAGAAAATATGGATGATTTAATATTCCATAGCTCTGACCAAACCAAATCAAACTGACGTCACTATTGTTAACACATCACAAACAAAGAACAGTTCTAACTCTTCATACCTGCCAACATTAGGCTGTGAAAAAGACAAATGGCAGACCCTTAACGCCTCTGCCCCCATTTAACCCTACACTACAGATGAACAGAATAAATACAAGGATGTGAAAGTAAAATGACTTTTAATCAGTATTAAATTTATAGTTAACAGTAAGACAGAGGGAGCTGACGAAGCCCAGTGTTACTGTATAACTCTCTGGTGTATCAGTAAAGTATAAACTACACTGCAGAGTGGAGTCTCTACTAACAGAGACAAACACTGACAGCTGACTCATATAAACATCGGCAAGTCCGCATTACATCAGGTGTGTGAAAAGTTTATATCGTCACGCTGCATTTTTGGGAACACACCCAGGCGCCGTCTCACCATCCCACGACAGACCAGCCTATGTCTACCAAGAAGAACAGCGATGTGCTATCGAGCCACCTCACACATTAACACTCAACTCAGACAAACAAGCGTCTCACACACACACACACACACACACACACAGCCAGAGAGCTAACGATACAAAAAACGCTAACTGTAGCATCACAGGGCTAGCGGATATTAATACATTTAACAACAAAGTCGAGCCTCTTAAAAGCTTGGTGTTGGACGTTAACCGCTGTTGCTAATTAGCTTGTGCTAACACTCTGGAGACGGTCCTTTGCGTAATCCTGTTGTCTTCCTTTGGAATTGTGAAAGACGTCCACACTACGACATGTTTTGTCCTCCAGACAGCATTTTTACTGTTGTTGTTCTTCTCTGTGTTTATTGGCTGCTGGCAAACCAGGTTTAAAGGTACATGTACCAACACTCACTGTGTCAGGTTGTATAGACGCTGCTTTTCTTAGGTTAACTTTTTATTCATTGGATTAAAATGTGCTGTATCGGGATATGAGATTTTGGTCATATTGCCCAGCCCTAAATACATGTTTCTAAAGTTTTGAAGAGGTTTCAATGCTCATTTTCCACAGTACAGATACACCACTACCATCTGTGTCCTCTCTTTCTCTAACTGAGAAAAGAAAAGTTGCTGTCGTGTTATCGCCTCATTATATCTATCTTTTAATACATTTTTTAAATTTTATGCCCTTAATGTCAAATTTTCCCCGTGGTCACAAATTTCAATATTTTTCAAGGCATTGTATTTAAGTTAGAAATTCCAGTATTGTGACAACAACATTAGTTTACTTATCGCGCACATCCTCAGTACAAATGTTTATGGCCCTCAGTTATCTTACTTTAAAATTAAAATGATACTCTTATTTTAAAAACAGATTTGTAATTTTCATTTTCTAAATTTATCAATTTATTTGCTGCCTTTGCAAAAAAATAAGCCTTTTTGTAACACCTTCAACAGAGTTCAACCCAGTGCAGCAGCCCTTGCTGAATGAGAAAGTGTTGAGGGACAAAAGGAAGAAGCTCCGCGAGACATTTGAGCGCATCGTCCGTCTGTATGAGAGAGAGAATCCCGACACCTACAAGGAGCTGCGCAAACTGGAGTTGGACTACGAGACCAAACGAGGGCAGCTGGCTCTTTATTTTGATTCAGTCAAGGTGTGTTTGTTTAGCTGCATATGCTTTTTTTCATTCATTGCGTGACATGTTGGATTTCTATACATTTATGTTTGATGACAGGCTGTAGTGCACACTTTGATAAAAGCTTGTTTTCCCCCTGGTTGGACTGAGATGCATCAGCAGGCAAAGCACTGTTTTGGCAAACTTAAATTTTGATCAGTCTTGATCCATCGGGTCAAATTCTCTGTGTATTATAACGTGTGCTTTGTCCTGTTTTCCAGAATGCAGAGTCAGTGGAGGTCGACAGTATCCCTTTACCAGATATGCCTCACGCCCCCTCCAATATCCACATCCAGGACATCCCACTACCAGGAGCTCAGCCTCCCTCCATACTGAAGAAGAACACCTCTTTTGGGTAAGTATTAACCTGTGTACACCAGAGGTTTCTGCAGGTAAATTCAGTACAAGGTTCCTATGCAGTGTCAAAAGTGTGGATTAGGTTTTAGTAATTTCCAAGTCTGGAGAAGTATGGAAAAGAAAATATGGAAAAATACTTGTTTTCAGACTACAGCCCCTAGTCTGTCTTCCTGAATATTACATTCTGAATTTCTAAAAAAAAGTCTCACAAGCAGAGTGTTTGTCATGGTGTTAGGAGCAGGCGGCCAGCGCAGCCAAAATGATAACCACTGTGTAAAGCCCGGTATACACTGTGCCATTTTGTGCTGTCCCAGACAAAAGGTGACCAGTGTGACAGAAATGTGACGATATCTTTGGTCATGGCTCTAAAACACTGATGTTGACATGGCAATAAAGAAGTTAAGATGTGGTCTGAAAAATCGACTGAGAAGTCTGGAATTTTGAGTCTTGAAAATTATGGAATTTTTGAAATGAAAAAATGTGCAGGAACCCTGTCAGTATGTGACGCTGCCGAGTGTTACTGTGACACTGAGGGAATTTTGTTTTTATGTGTCTTAGTAAAGGACCTCTGTCTTCATCTACTGGACCGGTTTTGGCAACAGCCCCAGGCGTGCCACGTTTACCTCCAGGGAAGAAGCCCCCTGGGCCCCCACCAGGGCCTCCACCTCCACAGGTCCTTGCACTGTACGGCATTCCTGCTCGACGAGCTTACGGCGCAGACACAGGTAACACAGGAACTGTCTCTTTAATGGCTCCATTTCTGAATGCTACTTCTACTTTTTTTTTATAATAATAGGACTTTGCTTTCATAAATGAGTTGCTGCTCGCGTTTCTGCAGGTTGCCTTCACTCTTTCTTTTTTTTTTATCCTGAACAGAGCCTTCCATTCCCGGTTTAGAAAAGGATGCTGCGATGGAATTAGGGAGAGATCGGGACAGCGGCAGCGAGAGCGACAGAGATCGTGACGACGTGGACGACGACGAAAGTGACTCTGAGGAGGACAGCGAAGAAGAGAGAGACGAAGGGGGAGATGGCGACCAGAGAATGAGTGTGGACAGACAGGATGATGAGAGGGACAGAGAGGAGGATAGAGACAGAAACGATAGACATGCTGGTGAGTCTTTCAGAAATGCTTCAGCTTAAGCTGGATTCATACTTGTGCATCAGGGAGGTGTAGTCAGGCTTCGGTGTAGGCTCTACATCGACGCACAAACAGTCTAAAAGCATTTTATGAAGAGAAAAATACAGATAAAAGTTTGTTTGTTTCTACCTAAGGTCGCAGTGTACGTTTCGCTGACATGCCTCCAGAGGCACCCCGTGAAGGAAAGAGGAAAAAGAAGAGGCTGGTGAAGAAGACAAAGGCCATCACCCCTCTGCAGGCCATGATGCTGAGGATGGCAGGTACTGTAGTATACCAGTGTCATTTCTCCATTCACACTAATCTAGCACATCTTATTTCTGTTTCTGATGACATGATATGTTTTTAATCTTCAGGTCAGTCAGTGCCTGAAGAGGAGGAAGAAGAAGAGGTAGAGGAGGAATACACAGATGAATCAGACAGCTCTGACATTGAGGACAGGGGACCACCAGGGGAGAGTCAGCCCCACCTGATGGCTAATCAGCGCCTGCCTCCTCCTGCTGGGCCAGTGGGACAACAGGGGCCTCCACACTTGCAGGGTCCACCAATGACTGGACCTCCGCCTCTGGGTCCACCCCCTGCTCCTCCAATGAGGCCTCCTGGTCCACCATCTGGCCCGCCTCCTGGCCCGCCACCAGGTTAGTTGCAGCGTTTATTAGCTGGAGTACTCGGCTCCAACGTTAAACATAAATCCCTGAAGCTGTTGTTTTAAGGATGTGCAGGCTGTTATCCACACGTTCACTGTTCATCACTGAGATGATGCATTCTGTTATCCTCAGGCGCTCCTCCATTCTTGAGGCCTCCTGGTATACCTGGAGGCATGAGGGGTCCAATGCCTCGTCTTCTGCCTCCTGGACCTCCACCAGGTCGGCCTCCAGGCCCTCCACCAGGTCCCCCTCCCGGCCTCCCACCAGGCCCCCCACCACGAGGACCCCCTCCCAGACTACCACCCCCGGCACCACCAGGTAGGCGTCAGGGTTGTGCCATATCATCTGCTGCTGTATATGTTCTCGTGTTTGCATGAACGCATGCTGAGCAAATATGATAGAATTCATTGTCAAACAGCATTGCCAGGAAATTTATATTTATTTAAATGCCAGTGCTGCTCAGCTGCAGTGAAGCTCAAACTGTAAGAATATATTCTGGACATTTAAAATAGTGTGTAAGCATCCTTTATGTTTCAAATCAAAGTAGTGTCTCATACATGTCTCATCAACATAAATCTGTCTTGTGTCTTTCTACAGGTATCCCACCTCCTCCCCCACGAGCAGGAGGACCCCCACGTCCACTTGCCCCTCCACTCTCCCTCTTCCCTCCACCTCTTAACTCCAACGTGCTCAGCGCTCCTCCCAGCATCGTGCAGCGACAAAAAGGCTCCGGATCCAACCAGGATGGTCCGCCGAGCAACCTGCCGCCCCCTGCCATGCCCATGCGACCGGGTGTCATGCAGATGCCTCCTCCCCCAGGAACAGCTGCCGCTTCGACGGGCCCCAACCCCGGCAGCAACCCCCCCGGCCACCACCACGCAGCCACCATCGAAAAGCGAGCCAACATCACCTCGGTGGCAGCGGCTGGAGGCAGCCTGGCAGCAGGCGCCGGCTCTGGCGGAGCCACCATCTCCGCCAAACCTCAGATTATCAATCCAAAGGCGGAGGTCACCCGCTTTGTGCCCACCGCGCTGAGGGTGCGCAGGGACAAGAGTGGAGCAATGCCCGGGGCGGCGCCTGGGCCTCTGGAGAAAGCAGGGGGTGGTGTTGGAGGAAGGAGGGGAGATGAAGGCATGGGAGGGGGACAGGGGCAGAAACAGCAGGCAACAGCTGCTCCCATGGGCCTGGTCAACCCAGCCCAGATGGGTGCTGTGTCTCAGCCCAACATGAAGACTAAGGACCAGGTGTATGAAGCCTTTATGAGAGAGATGGAGGGACTCCTCTGAGACTCAGGAGGGCAGTCAGATGTTCAGCGGGGCGCTCTGAACAAAAGGAGTGTATTTGTTTTCTGTGTTTCCTGTGCAGTTATAGCCGTAGCTGTCCTCGAGGCAGTCAGCTAGATCAGTTTCTCTTTAGTAAACCAACGAAAGGCTGCGACACTCAGCACTGGCCTCACCAGGCTCATCATCATTTCATTTGGATTATTATTTGTTTTATTGAAGAGTGGGAATTTGATGTACTCAAGAAATTGCTATTTGAAGGCAACTCTCTAAAAGAACACTATTCTCTGCAATGAAAAAACAAATGCCAGAAACTACAGAGTGCTTTTTGTCCTCCAGTATGTTTTTTTTATTTTTCCTACAACTGTGTTTTTCCTCCAGCCAACTATTTGTGATTTGCCATGACCAGAAAAGGCATTTTGTATGATTGTTATTTTATTGGTGGTCTCCCAAACATGTTGGACATCAGAATTAAGGATTGTGGAATGTTCTGACAAAGTTACACGTCTGAAACTGTTTGATCAGCAGCTAAATAAATACTTTTTACCTCATGTCTCAGTGTGGTGTGCTAGTGGTCTCAAACTGTTTTCAATAATGTACCTACCACCTTTGAAATATGTTTTCAGCCAAGTACACGCTAGCCAACACAAAACATTTATATGCAGATAAAAAGCCTGTATGAAGAGGAACAACACCAGCGTCTGATGTACTAAGTAAGTGAAAAACACTTGAATGTTTCAGATGTTCAGAATCCATCACTAAATTTAAGGCAAACCCATTTTTGTCATCAAGTAAACATGATCGCATTTATGCAGTGTTACAGATGTAATAGATTACAGTCACTGAGGGAAAAAAATGTAGTTAAATTACATCCATCCATTTTCATCTGCTTATCCGGAGCCAGGTCACGGGGGCAGCAGGCCAAGCAAAGCACCCCAGACGTCCCTCTCCCCAGCAATGCTTTCCAGCTCCCCCTGGAGGACTTCAAGGCATTCCCAGACCAGATGAGATATGTAATCCCTCCAGCGTGTTCTGGGTCTGCCCCGGGGCCTCCTACCAGTGGGACGTGCCCAGAACACCTCTAACAGGAGGCGCCCAGGAGGATCCTGATCAGATGCCTGAACCACCTCAATGTGAAGAAGCAGCAGCTCTACTCCGAGCTCCCTCCGGATGTCCGAGCTCCTCACCCTATCTCTAAGGCTGAGCCCAGACACCCCACAGAGGAAACTCATTTCAGCCGCTTGCATCTGCGATCTCATTCTTTCAGTCACTACCCAGAGCTCATGACCATAGGTGAGGGTTGGGACGTAGATGAACCAGTAAATTGAAAGCTTTGCCTTCTAGCTCAGCTCCCTCTTCACCACGACAGTCTGGTGCAGCACCTACATCACTGCAGAAGCTGCACCAAACCACTGATCCATCTCATGCTCCATTCTACCCTCACTCCTGAACAAGACCCCGAGATACTTGAACTCCCTCGCCTGAGGCAGAAACTCTCTCCCAACCCGGAGGGACAATAATAATAATAATAATAATAATAATAATAACGATTTTTATTTATTTTTATTAGTAAATTTATGGATGTACTTTTTTATTGGTTATTATATTGTTTTAATGACTGTTATGTCTTCTTATATAATGCCATGGCCGGTTCTGTTGGTTCATTTGAAAGCCGATATCAGCCGATACCGATGACGTGCCGATATTATCGTGCATCCCTACATTTTTCAGCTTTATTGCACAGTTTAGAACATTTGTTAGAGTAACATTACTTTAAGTAATTTAAGTAGTTACATCACATAACATTTAAAACAGGGTAACTAGTTATCTGTAACCTATTACATTTAGAAAGTAACCTTCCCAACACCCAATTACGTGAATGTGTTTGTTGTGATGGTTAATGATTTAATTTAAACTATTATATCTATATCTATACAGTATATAGAAAATGTGGTTTTGGAACTTACCTTTATATTTTTTATTGATATTATAACTTAAATTTAAACTTTATTTTGGGATTATGTATGACTGAATTTTTTTTAAATAAACATTTTAAAGAAATCTCACATAGGCCCTGCAGTACTCCAAAGTACCCTGTGGGTATGTGTACCCCTTTTGAGAATCACTGGTGTAGTATTGGAGACAACATAACAAACACATGAACAAATGAATTATATCTATATTAAAAAAATGTGTCAGGATGTTTTCTGTCTGTGAAAAGATTTTTCTGTAGTCCGCCAGTCAGCTGTTTAAATTTCCTGATGCATTTTTTTTCTCTCCCTAGCCTATATGTATAATATCTATCTGAGTGGTTTTAATATTTTAGTATTGTATAATATTTTTATGTAAATAATTGTTCTTACTGGTGTTATTCTGTTTTATATTTGTGTATAATTTTTTGTGCCTATTTCAATTTTATATATTCCAGTTTTTTGTTTTTGTTTTTTTAAATAAATATATGTGTCATTTTTTATTTTTTTTTTATTTTTTTTATTTGTACAACACTTTGGTTGGTAAATAAACTTGATTTGATTTAATCTATTTTTTATTATTTAATTTTAAATTTTAATATCACATTTTTGCGACATTAGTGACTGAATATCTTTTTTGTTGTTAAAGTTTCGGTTTTCTCAGCACATGCCAACAAACAAGGACTACAATTCCCAAGCTTTCGTCGCTGAAGCTCGGACTCGTTTCCGCATCTGCGCAGTCCGGAGCTGACGACACGTTGGGGAGAGAAACATGGCGGACAGCAGTGAGGAAAACGTGAAGCCAAACACAGATGAACCACTCGAGGATTCGGACAGTGGTGATGATAACAGTCAGTCTAACAGCGGCGAAAACGACGAGGCAGTGAAGAGCTTCAAAGATCTGGTAGGTTTATCTCACAGCGAAGAAGAGACGCCATGTTAGCGACATAAACAAGCTGCTATTAGCAGGTTAAGCTAGCTAAGCTAAGTTAGCTCCATCTGTACTTTTATCGTCTCAAATCTGCCCGGTGTCTGACAACGTTTACAGAACGGGTTTAATTTGGCAGCAAGACACAACCAGCAGCTTTTAAAGATCTACTCTCGGTGTTTTCTCTTCTTCACAGGGTGTCACTGAGGTCCTGTGTGAGGCTTGTGATCAGCTGGGATGGAAGAGTCCAACAAAGATCCAGATAGAAGCCATTCCTGTGGCCCTGCAAGGTGAGCGATCATCACAGTCACACTACTTTCTATACAGCTCATCAAATGTTACAGTGGCAAGGTAAGGCAGCTGCATTCGTGTAGCACATTTCATACGTCAGAGCAAGTCAACGTGCGTTACAGAGCAAAATATACACTCACCGGCCACTTTATTAGGTACACCATGCTAGTACCAGGTTGGACCCACAGATTCAACAAGGTGCTGGAAACATTCCTCAGAGATGTTGTTTAATTGATTAAGTCAACAAATTATTGCTAAATATTACAAACATCAAAAGGACATAACTATAAAAATATCAGTGACAGAGAAGTGCAGATGTAATTTCATTATTGCAAATAAAGTATGTCAGAATCTACAATCAGTGCAGTTATAACTTTATGTTTAAACAGCAAAGTAACAACAGCAGAGCTCTCAGGGTTGATCGCCGTCTCTGCAAAACTCTGAAAGTGGCGTTTGTTTTATCTCCAAGGTAACAGATATAAAAGCAACAGGGTCAAAGTTCAGGGTGTAATGTTATGAGACAGTAGTGCATACTGCATGCAACAATGTGTGCTTTTTAAGGACAGCTGCAGTAACTTCTTAAAGTAAAAAGAAAAGGCCTTCGATCCGGAACGTACCTACAGACTCAGTGAATTCATTGATGTCATCAAGGGTGTCAGTGGTGGTGTCCTGGAACCTAATGGCGACTCTAGCCCTTTTTAAATAGGAATTGTGCAAATTTGCAGGAAAGCCCAATCAGTCTTTTTTCAGCATTGGCAGTATAAAAACAAAATCGGGGAGTGCAGCAAAATGCCGCCTACCTACTTTTGTGGTGCGCAATTCCTTGTCTCCCCAGTTGCTCATCTTTACAGTGTCTGTCAGGTTTGTGTTTCCCTCTTGCTACTAGCTGCTCGCTAATTCCTGCTATCAGCTGTTTCCTGTTTATCCACCGCCAGTGGCTCGCACGTGCGGCATCATCAACAGCTCCTCCCACAAGTCATCAACAGCCCCTCCCTTTGCGGAAGGCCGCCTCGGTCTGTTTAAACTAAAAGGGTTCCTCCAATATGTCTACCCTATGAGGCGGAAAATTGGGCACCTCGGATCAACTCGCCAATCCGGCTCTGTGTGTCTAAACGCTCGCAGCTTGTCGGCAAAACGGCTCAACATTCGCAGAAAATCTGGCAGTGTAAAAGGGGCTTCAGTGAATTTATTGATGTCATGAAGGACGTCAGTGTTGGTGTCCTGGAACCTGCCCCCTGCTCTGATTGGCGCCGTCTCTTGCGCCACTGGGTCATGTCTTGTAGTGTGTTTATATATCTTGACCACGTTAGGTTGACTGCATGGTTGCTACTCCTGAACATGGACAGCAGCTCTGCTCTGCTCCTTTGAACAGTGTATAGCAGTGATCCACAGCAGGAACAGGACAGCATCTCACATTCCTACCGACACACCACTTGTTGTTCAGTGTAAAGCACACGCCTCCTGTCCTTCTCTCCCAGAGTCCTCTGCTCTGTCAGATCACTGGTTAAATGAAGCTGTCCAGGAGTTTCAGTGAATCAAACAGTCCCTGATACTGGTTGGAAACTGAGAGGTCGTCAGGTTTATTACTCAACACATGTACAATGGGAGCAGGATGTTAGCTCAGCTGGTGCTCATTCTTCTCCATCTTTTCCTTATGTTTACTGACATATATCACTTAAAAACCTCGACCTGGCCACACAGCAGGGGTAGCAGGACGAGAGTTTGCAGACTGGAGAGTTGACTTTCTCATCGTGATAAGTGACTCACACCAACATGCCACCACTGTCCAGCAACAACCACAAAATGCAACACCATCACTTGCAAAATAGATGCAAGAGCATAAATTTAGCACAGATTTAGTGGAGCTGACAGAGAGGCAGCTGGAAATGTCTTTGCACATGTCAGTTAAGTTTTTGTTGTTTTTCCTCAGAGGGTTTTTGTCAATGAGGCTTTGTGGTGCACTAGAACTTTGTAGTGATTATTATTATTATTTGTATAGATTTTTAAAATCTTAATCAGGCATAAATATATATAAAATGTACATAGTGACTTTCCTCCATTGCTCACGTAACTTCAGTGACGCCCGTCTTCTTCCTAAACTGCAGGGAAGGATGTTATTGGCCTGGCAGAGACTGGTTCAGGAAAGACGGGCGCCTTCGCTCTGCCCATCCTGCAGTCGCTGCTGGCCTCGCCTCAGAGGCTCCACACCCTCGTCCTCACCCCCACCAGGGAGCTGGCGTTTCAGATCTCTGAGCAGTTCGAGGCCCTGGGCTCCAGCATCGGTGTCAAGTGTGGTGAGTGTTGATTAAAGGTTTACTGGTTTGAAGTGATGCAGATGACTTTCTGTGGTTCTGGACCAATTTTCTTTTCTGTTGCAGCTGTGATAGTCGGAGGGATCGATATGATGTCCCAGTCTTTGGTGTTGGCTAAAAAACCTCACATCGTTATTGGTAAGACCACAAGTTAAACACATGTCATAAACTGCAGCACATCATCTGTCAGTTCTTCTCTGTGTGAGTTTTTGTGCTGAGCAGATGTGATGGTTGTCTTCTGTATATGTCTCTAATTCAGCAGTTTAAGCAGCCTTTGGTTTTATTATTGATGTGATGAAGTGAATGAAATGTGTTTACAGCCACACCCGGTCGGTTGATAGACCACATGGAGAACACAAAGGGCTTCTCCCTACGAGTGCTGAAGTACCTGGTCATGGACGAAGCAGACAGAATCCTCAACATGGACTTTGAGACTGAGGTGGGTACAACGAAACTCTGACTTAATGATTCCAGTGCAGCAGTTTGTGCCTACGATATAACAACAGTCAGTGGGAACCAAAATCATCAGCCCACTAAGGGCTGGATTCAGAATCAAAAATCAAAGTAAAAAATCGAAATCACAGGTATGACCTCCCAGGAGGGTCTGGGCATGCTCCTGATGAGTTGGCGGATGGTGTCCTGGGGGATCTCCTCCCAGACCTGGATCAAGGCATCAGTGAGCTCCTGGATAGTCTGTGGTGGTACTTGACAATGTCAGATGCACTGATACATAACGTCCCATAGGTGCTCAGTTGGATTTAAGTCAGGGGAAATGAGAGGGCCAGTCAATGGCATCAAACCAGGGAACCCAGGGCCCTCTGCACCAGGAGGAACCCAGGGCCCGCTGCACCAGGAGGAAGCCAGGGCCCTCTGCACCAGGAGGAACCCAGGGCCCTCTGCACCAGGAGGAACCCAGGGCCCGCTGCACCAGGAGGAACCCAGGGCCCACTGCACCAGGAGGAACCCAGGGCCCTCTGCACCAGGAGGAAACCAGGGCCCTCTGCACCAGGAGGAAGCCAGGGCCCTCTGCACCAGGAGGAACCCAGGGCCCTCTGTACCAGGAGGAAGCCAGGGCCCTCTGCCCAGGAGGAGCCCAGGGCCCTCTGCACCAGTGTAAGGTCTGACAATCGCTCTGAGGATTTCATCCTGGTACCTAACAGCAGTCAGGGTACCGTTGGCTCTGACATGGAGGTCTGTGTGACCCTCCAGGGATCTGCCTCCCCAGACCATCACTGACCCACCTTCAAGCCGGTCATGCAGGATGATGTTACAGGCAGCGTAACATTCACCACGGCGTCTCCAGACTCTTGCACGCTGTCACATGTGCTCAGTGTGAACCTGCTCTCATCTGTGAAGAGAACGGTGCGCCGATAGTGGACCTGCCATTTCTGGTGTTCTCTGGTGAATGCCAATCAAGCTGCACGGTGCTGGGCTGTGAGCACAGGTCCCACTAGAGGACGTCGGGCCCTCATGCCACCCTCATGGAGTCTGTTTCTGACAGTGTGGTCAGAACTTTTGTGCATGCATTTTTGGTAGAACATCATACGAACCATTCTCTGAGAATATGATGAACTGAACCACCCCACTGTAATGCCCCATCGATGCGTCCTCCAGACGGGGTTTGAATGTTCTTTTCATTTAACTGTAAACATTGCAACAAAAATAATTCAACGTGCGACACTATGAGGAACATTTTCTCTCTTTTGCCAGGTGGATAAAATCTTGAAGGTGATTCCAAGAGAAAGACGCACCTTCTTGTTCTCTGCCACAATGACCAAAAAGGTAGGTCAACACTGAGAAGTCTTTTAATCAGGCCCCACTGATGCAGCATGTGACATATTTCTGCTCCTGCTTTGTTCCGTGTTACTGGCATCTCATGCTGCAGGTTTACCAGTAAAACTAACAAGCATTCCACCACATGCAGAGCTGCACATTTTCCTCCTGCGCTGATATGCTTTGGTTTGGTTCCAGGTCCAGAAACTACAGAGAGCAGCTCTGAAAGATCCTGTGAAGTGTGCCGTCTCCACCAAATACTCTACAGTAGACAAACTGCAGCAATATTACATCTTCATACCATCGAAGTACAAGGTACAGCACATTCTCTGTCCATATTTTAATGTCTGAAACCACATGCTTCAAGCTGTCACCCTCTCAGTACCACCATCACTTTATAATGGTATTCATATGAAGTATACTGGGGTTTCTAACAGCATTTTGGGCTTGTGTTTGTGTATCTCGGCAGGACTGTTACCTGGTGTCCATCCTGAATGAACTGGCTGGCAACTCTTTTATGATTTTCTGCAGCACATGTAATAATGCCCAGCGGGTGGCACTGTTGTTAAGGAACCTTGGCATCACGGCTATCCCTCTTCATGGCCAGATGAGTCAGGTAGAGCTGCAGACGAACACACACACCTTTTTCTCACACTCACACTCACATGAATCCAGTCTGTGTTAAAGGTGTAAACACTCGTCCCTATCCATGAGTCTTTATGATCATGTTATACTCTGACCTGTCATGGTTTGACAACAGAGGGACGGTGTTGCTCTGCTTCTCTTTGTATTTGATAAAACATAATAATGTTGCTAATACTGAGTCTTCTCTCTTCTGCCAAACACAATCATTCATGAGGCCTGTCGTTATAGTGCAGTAACCAGCACTGGTGCGGAGTTCACTGCATGGCCTGCAGCATACAGTAAAAGTCATTTAAAAAGTGTTCCCTCTTTTTTAGAGCTGAGACGACAAGTTGTTGAATTAATCAGTCAGCTGATAGAAATTAAAACAAGTTTGATCGCTGATAAATCCTGTCAGACATTTTTAAGTCAAAATGACAAAATTCTTATAATAGGATTTTTTGCTGTTTGCTGACAGTCTGCAGAGCAGTGGCTCTCAACCTTTGTCATGTCAAAGACCTGTAAATTGATACACTTTGCCTCACTAACACCCGTCTGATTGGATCTCCCTTCAAGGACCTCCATCTGAAAAGATTTTGGTCGTTTGATATGATTTCAGCGAGAGCTCTGATCCAAAAAATCAGGCATGACCCTACATGAACCAGCTCGATTAAAAACCTCAGTTTCTACTGCATAAAAAAAGTATATATTATTTTTAGGGCTGTCAAGCGATTGCAAAAATTAATCTAGTTATTTACATGCTAAATGCAAAAAATGTCAGTTCAAATGATTCAGCTGTTGGATTCTGGACACCATTGTCCCCCTGTCCTCTACCACTGAAAGTGGTCTGCAGCCCATCGCAATACATGTAGCAAGGAAGTTAGTTGGTTACAGGTAGACTGACTCAGTTTGAACGCCTTGTTGAGTGTGGCTTGACAAAGCTGGCTGCTAACGCTAGCATCAGAGATTGTGCCAGCTCGGACCTGCAGGTTCACCGCTAAATGCTTTGTGGTGAGGTGATATTTGAGGCTTGAATGCAGCCTTACGTAAATGCACTGTGAGGAAAAGATATTTTGTAAGACATGATGAAGTGAATTCTAGGTGCCAAAATGTAGCGTGTAATTCTTTTTCTTTTTTATGCAATGAAAAGTTTGTGTTTAACATTTATAAACATCTACAGATCATGGTCACTGTCACATCAGTGTCAGCATGTTACCATAAGCAGATAAGCCATGTTTGTTAGTTCTGACTGGTCTCCAAAAACACGCACAGAAAGTGACACTGGAGATGTCATAATAACATGCATGACACAGGAGTTTTTGTTGTTGTTGTTGGCCTGCTAGAGCCTGTTGCCTCTAGATGCAAAAATAACTGTGGTTTGTGTTGCAAATGCAACAAGTAGAGTAAAGGTCCTGTTGTTAAATGCCGCTCCTCCGCCAGGTTTCTTCTCAGCCGCTGTCTTGCGCTCTCATTGGCTGTAGCTCGCTGACAGGTCCCGAAGTAAGCTTATGAGATAGCAGGGGAGTGTCTACAATGCATCAGTGAGCCGTGCGTCTTTGAACAGTTCACACATAGTGCTAGGGCACCAAACTGCTGATGTGGGGCAGTTGTCGCAGAGCTCCACAAACTCATGGCAAGAGGAAAAATCAGGGCTAAGGTCATGTAGTGTGAGTTAGGCGTTACTCACCCTTTTTCAGCCTGTGTCGATTAGTTTTAGGTGTGAAATGAACACAACAATGCATGAAAGCTAAAAACAAATTGCAGTGAAAGATGAACAAAAAAGTGAAAGTAAATAATTAAAATTTCAAAACATATATGTTTGAATTCTTGTGTTAGATAAAGTAAGAATGGAGATTGGAAACAAACAAAAAACATGTCATTTCACATCAGGGGTTGCATCCAATATTTAATTTGGTATTCTTACTTTTACTTTTTTTGTTGTTCATTAGAGCAAAACACTTCAACACTGAGTTAAATACAACCAAAAAAAAAAGATGGAAAGAGGGTTGTGAAGTTAAGATCTTCTGTTCATGGATGAAGTTAACAACATAGTTCAGAAACATGTTGCTCATGTGGGAGAACAGCACCCTCTTCTGGTGTTGTGCTGTACAGCAAGAAAAAGAAAAATCTCAAACACAGAGTGGTGCACACACACACACACACACACACACACGGATACTGCCAAATTATTCTGTATTGTTTTGTAAGTTTACTGTAATCATGATCGGGACATAATTTACACACTGTAAATACACACTCTCACAAACTGTATTTCCATCAGCGCGTCTCTGCAGTGTCTCTTTTGCCGTCTGTTTCATGCCTTACTCACTCTCTGGGTCGTCTCCCTCTGTTGGTCAGAACAAACGTCTCGGAGCACTCAACAAGTTTAAGTCAAAGTCTCGCTCGGTGCTGCTGGCGACCGACGTGGCGTCCAGAGGACTGGACATTCCTCATGTCGACTGCGTCATCAACTACGACATCCCCACTCACTCCAAGGTACCTTGGTGCTGACGTTCAACACTGATGATTTCATTAGTTTGATTTGATTTGAATGGATCTTTGGATCTGTCTGCCCTCACAGGACTACATCCACAGAGTGGGACGAACAGCCAGAGCGGGACGATCCGGGAAGTCCATCACTTTTGTCACTCAGTAAGAACTGCCTGTTTCTCACCAGTGGCCACACTTCATGTTTAACGTCTTTATAACGTCTATGTGCTGTCTGTCATGTCTCTCACCGCCTTTCTAATGTTTTGTTGATGATGCTCTTAAAAATAAAAGTAAATGACTGCAGTAAACTGACATGTTCTCTTATCTCAGATATGATGTAGAGCTTTTCCAGCGAATCGAAAGCCTGATTGGGAAGAAACTTCCAGCCTTCCCCACCCAGGAAGATGAAGTGATGATGTTGGTGGAGAGGGTGAGCGAGGCTCAGAGATTTGCCCGACTGGTGAGTCCAAACACTTTATTTTATTACCTCAAACATATAAAATGTAAATACAGAAACATACTGTATGAAGCAACCTGTGGAGAAAAGGTGTTCTTTTCTGTCTAAATAACTTGAATGTCCTTTCATGTTGTGACATGTCAAGTCAAAAGACTCACTCGCGAAGTGAATATGGTTGTCTGCGTCCTCCTTTTCAAGTCTCTGTTCCTGAGCCTTCAGACTAAAATACGACCCTGGAGTTTTCAAACTAAAATGGGATGAGTAGTGTTTTCAAGGGTCTCCATTTTAGGGGTTCCAAAACTCCCCAGTAGTGTGAACACCAGGTGTGAACGTAGTAATAGTTATGCATTTAAAACTAAAATGTTTTGGCGTGGATATAGTGGATTTATTTTTTTATTTTTAGGAAAAAAGCGCTGGGATGCACTGGTTTGAAGAAATATGAATGTACAGTAAAAAAAAGTCTGCCCAGTAATCATTAGTTGAGAAAAAAAAACTGTCTTATCTTCCTCAGGAAATGAAAGAGCAAGGTGAGAAAAGGAAAAGGCCCAAAGGAGGAGACGGAGACGAGGATGACACAGAACAAGCAAGCGGAGTGAGGAAGAAAGTTAAAGGAGGAGGAGGAGGAGGTAAAGGAGGGATGAAGAAGAGGGGTGGAGGAGCCTGGAGGGGAGGACGCTGAATCCTCCTCCACTAACAGACTGTACATAACCACAACACACAATGCCTTTCTTGTATTTGATGTAAAACTTGGCAGCATTTTTCCAGCCTTTCATATGGAAGCTATTTAATGACACATGCTTCTCCTGCCTCCATATGACATCTTTCCATTTGTAATAAAATGCCACTGTAAAACCCAGAGCTGTGTCTGTGGTAGGGTGATGTTTGATTGTGTGAGTTTTGAGCTGCTAAAATGCTGCTGTTGTGGCTTTCAGACACCAGAGGGGGGTGTTTCAGTTTACAGCAGGAGGAGGGGAATGATGGCGTGTTAAAGGGAGAGTTCAGATTTTTTGAAGTGCGAGTGTATGTGGTACCTAAAATAGACAGTTTGGAGAGGCAGGCTGGCGTCCAACATGGAAGCTAAACAATGTGCTGCTGTGGAGGGGTCGGTAACAGAACATATTTTAACCACCTAACAAGGCCAAATTATTGTTTTGTCAGTGGAGACTGGTGGCTTTGACAAGAGCATAGATTGGGAACTTAAGTCCAAATGGTTTCCCGGGTGCAACAGGCTGTCTTAAGCTGATAGTGAATTTTTTTTAAGTGGTTAATATCTGAATTGTTGCTGAGCCTCCTCTACAGCTGTACGTCCTGAAGCTTCCATGTCGTAAGGCAAGGCAAGGCAAGGCAATTTTATTTATATAGCACCATTCATACACAAGGCAATTCAATGTGCTTTACAAGAGAAATACATTAAAATAAAACATTAAAGGAACAATAAAATTGTGTTTGAGATAATTAAAAACAAAAGCTAAAAGCAAGACAATAAATAGTTAAAAACAGTGCAGAAAATGCATTTAAAAAGCAAACATAAAGCAACAGCAGACAAATATAAAAACAATAGCTACAGATTATCCTAACAATAAGTTACATATCTAGTTCACTGGTAAGCTGCAGTAAATAGTAATGTTTTAAGCCCTGATTTAAATGAGTTGACAGTTTCAGCCGACCTCAGATATCCTGGAAGTTTGTTCCACAGACGGGGAGCATAGAAACTAAAGGCTGCTTCAGCTTGTTTGGTTTTGATCCTGGGAACACTGAGTAAACCTGTTCCAGATGATCTGAGGGGTCTGGATGCTTCATAACGTACAAGTATATCAGAGATGTATTTTGGCCCGAGACCATTTAGTGCTTTAAAGACAAGTAACAAGATTTTAAAGTCTATCCTTTGACACACAGGAAGCCAGTGCAGTGATTTAAGCACTGGTGTGATGTGCTCCACTCTCTTGGTGTTGGTGAGGACTCTGGCAGCAGCGTTCTGGACGAGCTGTAGTTGTCTGATTGTTTTTTTACTCAGGCCTGTGAAGACACCGTTACAATAGTCCAGCCTGCTGAAAATGAAAGCATGAACAAGTTTTTCTGTATCTTGTTTAGACAGAAATTCTTTTATTCTTGCTATGTTTTTAAGGTGGTAGTAGGCTGATTTAGTAATTGTCTTAATGTGACTATTGAAATTTAGGTCTGAGTCCAGAACTACTCCAAGATTTCTGGCTTGATTTGTAGGTTTTAGTGTCATGGCGTCAAGGTGAGCACTGACTATTGATCTTTGTTCTTTGGGGCCAAAAATAACTATCTCAGTTTTGTCTGTGTTTAGTTGTAGAAAATTCTGGCACATCCACGTATTGATTTCGTCAATGCACTTATTTAGCAGATGTAGGGAACTGTGGTCATCTGGTGACACTGTTATGTAAAGTTGTGTGTCATCTGCATAAGTATGGTAGGAGATGTTATGATATTCCATAATCGTACTCCTGTCTGCTTCTCCAAACTGTGGGCATGCTGACGTACATTTACTGCATGTAATACTCTCGACTATAGATAAGCACCTCAAACAACCCCACTTCAAAAAATCTGAACTATCCCTTTAATACAGTATATGCCCTTTGAAAGTGTTGGAGCGTTAACAGCTTTAGTTCCCTATCTGCACTGTCATCAAAGCCACCAAACTCCATTGACAAAATTAGTAATTTTAGCTTGCTGAAACCGGGAGCTGTTGGTGGATCAGTTAGTTAGTTAGTGTTATTGTGTGACTTTGGTGATTCCGACTTAACCGTTTTAAACCTAAAGGTCACACGATAACACAAATAAAGTCACTTGTCAAGGCAGCTGTAAACCAGCAGCTTCTGGGTTGCATGATTTTAAATCACTGTTTTTATCAGTGGAGTCTGGCATAGAAGAGAGTGATATAACAGGCTTCAGTTTCCTCTAGAAAATTACTGTAAGACATCAAGATAAAGCAGTGAAAGTATTTAAAATATAGTGTACACTTAAATTAATATATATATTATTTTGGGTGGGGATTTTTTAGGTGGCTAAAATAATATTTTTTACTGGCCCCCATCCACAGCAGTACATTGCTAAGCTTCCATGTCGTACTCCTGTCTGCTTCTCCAAACTGGGGGCATGCTGACTGACATCTACTGTGTGTAATTTCCTGTCTATGGATAAGTACCCCATACAACCCAACTTAAAAAAAAACGGAACTATCTCTTTAATACAGTAAATGCCCTTTGAAAGTGTTGGAGCATTAACAGCTTCAGTTCCCCATCTGCTCTTTCATCAAAGCCACCAAACTCCATTGACAAAAACAGTAATTTTAGCTTAATGAAACCAGGAACTGCAGGGTCGATCAGTTAGTTAGTTAGTGTTACTGTGTGACTTTGGTGCCTCTGACGTAACTCTATTAAACCCCAAAAGTCACACAATAACACAAACAATATAACTGTTCAAGGCAGTGGCAGACCAGCACCTCCTGTGTTCCATGATTTTAAATCACTGTTTTTATCAATGGAGTCTGGCATAGAAGAGAACAAAGTGATGGCTTAATTTTCCTGTTGGAAATCACTGTAAGACATCAAGGTAAAGCAATGAAAATATTCTAAATATAGTGTAAACGTAAACTGATATATATTTTTTGGGTGGCTAAAATCATTTTTTTTTGCTGGCCCCCATCCACAGCAGTACATTGCTTAGCCTCCATGTCAGACAACAGCCTGCTTCTCCAAACTGTGGGCATGCTGACGTACATTTACTGCATGTAATACTCTTGACTATAGATAAGCGCCTCATACAACCCCACTTAAAGGATAACTTCGGTGTGTGCATATGATTCATTCATTCATACAACTTGTTCTAAAATTGGTTCAGTATTGAGGGAGGCGGATGCAGCCGGCAGCTGCGAAACGAGCTAAAATGATAACGGGAGCAAATGCGTCCCGTATAAGTTTGCGCATTAAAAATGCTTTTTTTCGCCACTGACCAGTTCAGATCGCCAGTGTTATCTCTGTAAATAGCATACTAAGCGTTTCCCTTACCTCTGGGCTGTGTGACATCATCTCGCGAGAGCTTTGCTCCACTGTGTCTGTAGCTCTCTCTACTCGTGGGGCAGCCATTTTCTTGAGGAAGAGGTGTTTCGGGATTGGATGTCTTCTCTTCTTCGGCTGGCAGTAGCCATCTTGGGAGAAGTGAGCACTGCACACCCAATGGTCTGCAAGGCGCAGTGTCTGGACAGGAGTGTTAGCATCCATTTGTAGCACAACTAGCCACAACTTCAGCATCTCGCCATCCGACAAAGGCAGCCTATGAAAGCTGTACGGGGTGTTGCGCGACATCCTGTTCTTGCAATTCAGATAAGCACAAACACAAACCATTGTTTTCAATCGATGCAGTAAAACTCTCAGACAACCAGCGCCACTCTGAGTGGCGTTCTGCATGGCTCCTCTGTTTTCTTCTGGCAACAAGCAAAGCTCTCGCGAGATGATGTCACACAGCCCAGAGGTAAGGGAAACGCTTACTATGCTATTTACAGAGATAGCACTGGCGATCTGAACCGGTCAGTGGCGAAAAAAAGCACTTTTAATGCGCAAACTTATATGGGACGCATTTGCCCCCGTTACGGTTTTAGCTCGTTTCGCGGCTGCCAGCTGCATCCACCTCCCTCAATACTGAACCAATTTTAGAATGAGTTGCACCTATGAATCATACGCACACATACACGTGGGGAAATAGGGCCCAGGTTGAAAAATATCGAAGTTATCCTTTAAAAAAAACTGAACTATCCCTTTAATGCAGTATATGCCCTTACTTTAACAGCTTTAGTTCCCGCCTGCTCTGTCATCAAAGCCACCAAACTCCACTGACAAATTAGTAATTTTAGCGTTCTGAAAGTGGGAGCTGCAGAGTCGATCAGTTAGTTTGCTTGTGTTATTGTGTGACTTTGGTGATTCTGACTTAAACGTTTTAAACCTAAAAGTCACACAATAACACAAGCAATATAACTGTTTGAGGCAGTGGTAGACCAGCACCTCTTGTGTGTCATAATTTGAAATCACTGTTTTTATTAATGGAGTCTGGCTTTGAGGAGAGCAACGTAACACCTTCATTTTCCCATTGGAAATCACTATATGACATTAGAGTAAAGCAGTGAAAATATTCCAAATATAGTGTACACTTAAACTATAACTAAGTACCTCATACAACCCCACTTCAAAAAAATCCGAACTGTCCCTTTAATACAGTGAATGCCACTGTATCAAACCACACCACACTATTTTCATTTTCTTAATTTGTCACTGAGCTATCAGAAGGTGCTAGAATGTTGATAAGGCAACTTATTTTGGAACTCACTTGGCAATGCAGGCAAAGCAACAGTTGCAATATCGATCATTTTCTGCACGCATGTCATTGGTTTGCAAATTGGAGGGTTGGTTTCTGGCAGCCAATGATGGGGAGGGCGAGGGAATGACCGCAAAGTGAAAGCCCAATTGTCTATAGGCTGCATCCAGTGGGTGTGTGCGATGCATAGATATTTGTGGGATAGATTTGACAAAGCATTTAGCGCATGATGTCCTAATAAAACCCCTGACAGTGTGGTTATTTCAGGGGGTTGAGGGAGCTCATGACAGGCGTCAGCTGTCACGTATCTGCTCAGGTGAGTCACCCCGGGCTGTGTCACGGTGTGGAGTATTGATCTGCATGGTCACTCTCTATGTGAGCACAGTCCATCGTAGGCGGGAGCAGCAGCAGCGGTCAAATCTGCTCTGGTTAGGAGGGGCCCCAGTGTAGAGGTAGCAGCAGTAGCAGCAGCAGCAGCACTGTGGCTGTGGTGCAGACCGGAGCCCCGATACATGCCTGCATCTCAT